TTAGCCTGACACCTACCTGTGTTCTGCACTTTTCTTTCCGCTGCGAGCGTGTTATTCACCATAATAGCATTATTTCTGTACAACACATGGCAGCCGGGCCGCACAAGTGAGTCATGTTCAACATAAAACAGAGCAGAAGAACAAAAAAAAAAAGAAAAAAGAGCCAGATCCAGTTTGAACGCCGAGCCTTACTTGTTTGGCATTCCTTTCGAGGCCCTGAGGAGTTTGCCGGCCAGTTTCTGCAGACCTTTGGAATAAGTATGTTCCAGCTCAGCCCTAGAAAAAGACACAAATCAGAATCAAACAGGCATTCGGTTCGAGTATGACTGCGGTGTCTTTGCCAACCCTACCTCTGCTGAAACACCGTCATGAGTTCTTTGCAGAAGTACTCCCCAGTTTTTGAGAATCGTTTTACATTCTGGTAAAACTGGTGGTACTGGAAGAGAGTAAAAGACACAAGACTCTGTTAAAATCAGTGATTTGACTGCAGTCAGTAAGTTTTAAAACAGAAACACTCACCGAGCAGGTGCTGACAGGGTCCCTCATCTTAAGACTGTGATTGTTTGTGGACTTTGGAACAGGAACTTTAACCGCCTTCCCTACAAAGTCACTAAGGCGGAAACCACCTCAGCTTTTGTCAGTGCGTGTTTCAAATGAAAATTCCAGCCAGTGGGAACGAAAGAGAAAACTGCAAACTGTGTCAAAGAGGAACATATAAACACAAAACACTGTGCTTTCATCTGTCACTCTGGGCCTGTTTGTGTGTCTAAATTCAAACTTAATTCTTATTATATTTATTTTTTTTAATTTTGTTTTTATCACTGGACAAAATGAAGTTTAAAAATGTATTTATTTGTAATAATATTATGAATTATTTCTTGTTGTTCTAAGTTCTTTAGCTATTGTGCATTCAGAGCAAAGCATGTAATCTGAGATCCCTGTGTTTAAACCAGCAGATTTTTGCAGTGGTGAAGATCTCTGTCAACACAACACTGACGTATCAGGCTGTCACCTGACACTGCTCCAAAGAAAGGTGATTATTTATATGTTGTTTCCTCTCACAATTGTAATTTTGAATACACCGAACACAAACCGTCTGAGAGGTTCTTCAACTAGCATGTTAGCTGGTAATAAGTTTATATGAGTGTTAGAAAGGTGCATAAAATGTATTATTATTAAATTAAGGTATTAAACATATGAATATACTATATATATACATATATATATTTAAAATATATATATAAAGATATACATAACATTTTTATATTGCCATTTTTTATATATTGTCTACCAGTGAAAAATCAAGCAAAGAAAGAATCTCATACTTACCTTTTTATTTCCCATAGATCCTTTGAAATACTATTATGTTTTTCCTCTTAAGGGGTTTTGAACATACACACACACATGCAGTTCACATACTTGCAGTATCCATGTTTTTATTGAATAATTTTAACAATTGACGTCTGCCTGGTCTGTGAAGAAATGGCCTTTTAATGGAATGCTTACCCAAAAAGTACAAGAATACTAAACAAAATGCTTCAATAGAGAATACAGCATCTGGCCATATCTGATGCACACACATAATACTGTTATTGACATCTCATAAATGGTAAAGAATGTGATTTTTTTCCTTTTAAATGTGAGCAAACTCCAAACATTGCGATCCATGTGGAGATGAAAAACTCAGCCGCTGTTTTAGCAAATCTTTGGGGGTGTAGCATTTAAATACACCTAGGTTGTACGGCCTTTTACTACTGTAATACTCAATGTGAAGTCTTGTCATGTGAAGTAACACTGACATCATAGTAGAGCAGCAGTCTGACTGAGCCATCTGCCACTGTAGTGAGAAAAAATATATAAATAAGACAGAGAAACACAAATATAAGGGAATCGCGCCCCCAGTGTGCCTGACTACTGTATGTTAGAGTAACATGCTAACACCACAGAGTGGAATGCTGTCATCCAATTGCCTGATAAACAGAGTGGGTAGTGCCAGTACGAGTGCCTCGGCATCTCACTGAAATGAGATTCTAATGCAAATATATATGTATATATAAGTATGAGCTCTGCAAAGATGGGACATTTGCAAAAAGGTATAGGAATCAGACCGATAACAAAACTTCAACCATGTGGTTTTGAGTACAAACGATCAGTGCCGGAGAGACGACGCTGTTCTTGTGTCCACCACACACTCAAACACATACACGCACAGATAGATGGATGGAGTCTGTGTCACGGCTCCACTGATGTATAAATATAAGCTCAGTCAGTGTTCGTCGGGGTACGGCACTCCCGTCAGGTAGCCATTGGTCCCGTGATTTTTATTGGTCCCATTGGTGGCGCTGCTGTGGTGCTTCTGAAGGGGCGGGGGGCTGTCGTCCTCATCAGAGCTGGACTCGATGTCGCTGCGGTCGTCCTTAGACACCTGCAGGAAAAGGGAGGATGGACAGAGATAGGACATTTCTCATTAAAATCCTTGTCTCTGTCATTATCTGTGGCAGCCACGCATGATGGTGTGACAAATGGGCTTTTGCAAATCAAACGGCGAGACGTTCTGCCACTCAGTCTCAAGCTGCAACAGCCACAAAATCAATTTGCAGGCTCAAAATGTGGTGAATTATAACTGCGACCTTTATATTCCTGATGGATTGCTTAATTGTTAGTCTGGAAATGTCAGAAAATAATAGAAAGGGCTTCTTGCTGTGTCTATAAATAGCAGTGCTGGAGGTACAAAAAAAAAAACAGAACAAAATCAAAAACTTTTTCCTATTTAGGGGTGTAAGAAAATATCAAAACACTGAAATAACTAAATATGATTACTTTGTTGAAATTAAATTGGTTCATTTTATTTTGCTAATGCTTCTTCTCTAGCGATCACAAAATTAGATCCCTCTTTTCCAATTTGAGTAACCTGATGTTAAGCATGTGACAGCGTTGTGTGTTTGCTGTGCTGACAGTTTTCCTACAATGATATTTCTTTATATTACTATATTGAGTTACTTAATATATCGCAGTAAATCACAGAATATCGGACCGTTACCCACGCCTATTTCTTAAATAAATTGTTTTGACAAATGTTAGACAAAATAATTTTAGGAATATTCTGAGGGTTTTTATATGAAACAGAGTACTTATTACATCTCTATTGACTTTTGACTCTTTTCCATCACAGTTCACAGCAGCACTTCACATAATGATTTGGCAAAGATTAAACAGCGGATGCCCATCCTCATTCAGGATTTGAAGAAGCTGTGGTATCAAACCCGAACCTTCTGGAAACAGGTAAGTACCACTCCACTAGCATCAATGGTAGACTTTACAAATGGCACTGAGCATTGAAAGAAATGAATGGTTCCATAAATAAAGAGCATTAACAAAATGGAAATAATAGGATGACGTTATTTAAACCACATTAGGAGTCTATGACTGCTAAAGAGTTCTATGAGGCTGCACTTAGGCAGGCTGGAGGTTTGAGTTAAAATATAATGTCAGCAAAACCAATGTACTTCATTTGCTGTGAAGGCATTTGCAAAACGGCCCTGAGCTCTGAGGGCTGTCGCTGAGAATGGCAGCAATTTTACAGGTTTCTGGTTACAAATCCCAAAACATGTTTATGCGTGTACTTTAATCCATAGTAATTAATGTAGGATATTAAAAAAAAATCTCAAAGCGTACTTACATGTAAGGGGTTCCACTTTCCCACCTTGAAGGTTGCGGGTTAGCATAGAGAAAAGAAACAAGGCAAAATCAACAGTGGCTAACAGTGTTGCTACACAGTGTTAATGAACGCACAAAGTTCAAATAACGAATTATTACAAGATCAACAAAATTAAAGTCAAGAAAAGGAAAAGGTCAGAGGAGTGGGGCAACGCACCTTTCCTTTAGATATGGCTCGGCACACTGTCTTCACTATAAGGTAGGACCAGAAGGAGTGAAGGAGCTGAAGCAGGATGAGAAGCAGGTTAAAGACCCACCAGGATGGGAATGGGCCCACAATCTCCCAACTCTCAAACAAGGTGGTGTTTAAAATCCTGTAGGGGTAAAAGGAAGCGAGGGAATGAGAAATATAAAAATAAAGGTTTCAATATTTTGACTAGACATCACAAAGATTAACGATCATCAAATTAACTTTGCATATATTTTTTAGACTTGGCTTTCTACCCAGTTAACCGCTATGGGAACACAATTATAGTTCTATAATTGTATGATTTTTGTTGTTTACATACTGTCGCTACTGTTCAGCTGTTTTCTGTGTTTGTGTGATGCAGTCATACTAAATGTGATGAGATCTTATTCAGAACCAATGTGTCTCTGAAGACTACTGGCAGTGACATCTACCTCAGAAGCTGCAGCCATGGCAACAGTTTTAAAGAAATAACAACTTTACCCCTGGTGTGAGCAGCACAGACTAAACAACCGTAGTGTTCTCATATCACACAGCCAAAGGAAAATACTACACCAGCAGAAAGTCGACTTAAATTTAAAGACTAAAACAACAAACACAACATTATCTCAGGATGTTTACAACTGACGACAAACATTAATGTTAGAAATGTCCTGTTTTTATGCAATGCTCAATAATTGAGTTTTTTTTTCAACATCAGAGCTGATTTAAAACATACACTCTGTCTCCTTGTACTTGTGAAACTCAGGATCAACAGCTGCTCACGGCTGCTTGACATTTTTAGGGCTTGTGCTGATTACATGGTGCTTTACTGTCCAGTGTTATCAGCTGATGAAACAAGGATTTTGCATTATTAATGTGAAGGTGTAAGTCTGCGTGCGATCGATTGATTCAATTTCACATTGTGGTTCTACACTCAGATCAAAGATAGACATCATGCTCTGCTGTTTATCGACGGCTTAACATGGATTTCTTTCAGTGGTTAAAAAAATGCTGCCGTATCCATAGTTACTATTTCTTAGCAACAAAATTCACAGAGATGTGTCTCAACCTCGAAAAACTGCGCAGAAAAGTACAGACAGTACGACACCACACAACTCCGCGTGGCTTCATTTTTTTTAGGGATGAGGTGCAGGAAAACTACATATTGACAAGGAGACAGTTCCTTTCACTCTGTAGCCGGCTGCTTGTGTGGCTCTGTATGTATGCAAATGACAAGTCAGCACACAGCATGAAAGAAAGTGTGGAGAAGGAAGCACGATAAATGAGTAACACTCACCAGACAGGATAAACCCCCAGTCTGGAACTTATGAAGAGAACTGCAAACATTGCAAACAGGAGGTTGCACAGAATCTGGCATTTGGCATAGTTGGCCATCTTGGCAGCCTAGGAAAATAATTAGCAAATATTTTATTATCAAAATGTGCCCATGTAATGTCCTCTGAGAACAATTAGATAGATGTAGATATACTTTATTGATCCCAGGCTGGGAATTTACCGAATTGACAGTGTGAGATTTTAATGACAACATTATTTACACAATTTTCAAATGTACTGAGATTTAATTGTAGGCCAGATGCGGCCTGCCTTATCAATACATGTGGCCCACCACAGCTTTGCTTAGAGTCAGGGGTTAGCCTAGCACTGTAGGCCTGTGCAGGCACATTTTCATTGTTAGTCATACTGGTACCACTGGTCCTATAGTGTTCAGCTCTCTGTGCTATCCTCACCTCTATCAGCACGTCGGCTGCATCGTGGAGACACATGACTAGTGTTCCCACTCGTGCCATGTTGTTCACGTAGGAAAAGGTGATGAGGGAGATTGTTGCCACGTGGTGCAGGAACATGATGAGAAAATCCTGGAGACAAAGATTCCAAAGAAACGTCACTGATTTTTCCCCCCAAATGAATACAATCTGGGCTAAAAGCTAAGGCAGCAAATGTGAAACATTCATATTTTTTATGTTTGGTTTCTCCAGTTTCTATGACAGTGCTACAACAACCGTGTACAGAAAAAGGCATAGCCACATCTACAGATGGAAAATCTATTACCCACTAATATAAGAGAAAGAGAGAGAGAGAGAGAGAGATTGGAAATGCACCTGTGGTTCTGGTGAGAACGTGAAGTGTCTGTTTTAAATAAAGCATCTATTCTGGTCAAGTATGTGAAGCACGTGGACTTGAACATCATGACACGTGAATGTTTCATCCCTGCCTCAGTGAAAAAAAGAAGAAGCAATTTTCCATGTCTGAGCAATCATCAGTACTGTGATGAGGACTCTACATGTTAACAGATTTTTAAAAAATTGTTTTTCTTTCTGTATTTTTTTTTGTTTTTGTTTGCTAGTGGTCTGTACACAACTAAGAAAAGTTAATCAGTTGAAAACAGAAACAGCAGGGGGCAGTGTTGAAACTCAAAATCAATGGCTGTTAACCCCCAAAGGAACAGTGGGGACAATTATTTAGTGGACAATCACTGGTGTCAAAGTTCTTGTGGAAAACGTTTTGAATAATTCACTAAATCAGAATTAGGTGAAATGTAGAGCAAGCTTGCACCGCCCCCTGCAGAGAGGGAGGGGACATGCTATATGCTTTATTAAAACTAATACATTTTTCCCTCATATTAATGACTCATTAAAGCTTTAAAAATACATTGGAATTGGGCCCTAACATTTTCTCATTTGCCAACCATTTACTGCAAAGCTCAAAATGACCAGAATTGGTCCAACAAAGCAAAAGAAATAGGAGAATGAGGGAGAAAAGAAAATGATGGAAGACACAGAATGGAAGCAAGAATGAAGGCAGAACATACTGGAATTGGCCGGAGTTCAGAGGACCTCAGCAGTGTAGTACTGTGCATGAAAAAACTGAAAGGAAAAACAAACAAACAAAAAAACAAAACAAAACAGACAACATGCCAACGTTCAACAAAGAAATGACAGAATGAAGGCATACACAGCATGGCATCATGGGAGCTGAAGTGAGTGTCAGGAGTGGAGTGTGTTTTGGAAAGGGAGCTGAGCCGGGGACGGAGTGGAGACAGTGGTGGGATTATGGCTGGAAGGCATGCAAATTGATACTTAATTAAACTTTTAAAGGATTTACTCAGAGCTTGTTAATTTAAAGCGTTCACACACACACACGCATGCACACACACTATACTGCAAATAGTGTTCTGTTATTACACAGTAGTAAAAAAACCAAACACTGATGACACAGTGTTTGGTTTTTGTGTTTCAGCATTAAATTCTGGGAAAATAAGAAGTCATAAATTAAAGTTATAACTAAAATGTAACGTGTCTGTGTGTGTGTGTGTGTGTGTGTGTATTTAAAAGGTATGTTGAAACTGAGCCAAATCCTACAAACACACATTTCATGTTGACTTGTTGACTCATTCCATAAACTAATCTATTATAAACAGACGGCACAACCACAATGTATTGCAGTTATGGTTTTCAGCATATTTTTGTCAACATTAATTTGTTATGTAGCAATTGCTATGTGTTGCGTGTACGCTTGGCTTAGGTCAAAAAGATTGTATCATTTCTCACAAATGTATAACGTGACAATCCTCTGCAACAGCTCTGACACGTTTTATGGAAATCTGTTAAAATGATTCAAGTGTCAAAACATGTTTTCATTCTAGTACCATCTGATGTTTTTTTTCCTTTTCCCGAACTGATAGAACGATAGAACAGGACTTTAGTCCTTAGACAAAGACAAAGAAGTAGGTTGTGACATGGGGTAAAAAAAAACAAACAGAAATTCTCTGAAGTGTTGGAATTTATAACCAAATAAAACAAATATTTCTTTTTTTGTTTTGTTTTGTCATTTCCCCTCCCTCATGTTTAATCTTTTTTTCGTCTTCAGGTTAATATTTAAAGAACGCATCAGGGGAACTCCTCCGGAATTCAAAGCTGGTCAGAAAAGAGATGCTTCATCAAGGCATCAGTTCTGTAAGTGTCTCCTTTTATTCTGCATTTTTACTTCTCTCAACAACCAGTCAGTGACACCTGTCAGTACAGATGTGGCTCAGTGTTGTTCACAGTTCACTCTCTTACCTTCCTCCTAATGTCTGTGAATTGGGAAAAGAGCAAAGACAGGTAGAAGGACAGCTCCAGTATGTAGTAATAATGGATGTCCACAGTCAGGGGCTGCACGGGCACACAAAAAGAACCAGGGTTAGAATAAGAGTCTTGCTGAGGACTGTCATCATCCTGTAACATTACTACAGAGGACAAACACTGCAGTGTGTGACTTGTTCACCTGGTAAGGATAGTTGTACCAGCATTCTTTAGTGTTCCACAGCCAGGGAGTCTGCAACAAAGGGCACACAGACAAGTATAAAATATACAGTAAACACTTTAATAAATATTATTTAAAATATATATTAAAAATAAAGTTAAAACAGAAGTATATATTTTCTTTAAAAATACATCAATATAAAATAAACTATATTTTGTACTAGTGTGCACAAGCCATGAGCCAAAAAAAACCCAAATAATTTACTACCAAAAAAGCTATTTCTTGGCAAGTTTGGAATTGACCATACAACTTTTTTGGCTAACTTTGTGCAACATGCTGTTAACAGAGACACAATCACAACAACAGTCTGGAATGCTGGTGCAGAAAAGAAGGTATCAGATTGATATCAGTATGGGCAGATATTCCAAGTTACATTCCTTCTTTTTAGTTTCCATGTGTCTAATCCTGCCTTGACTGTCTGACATGTAAAACGGGCAAATCCTATTGGAAATAACCATCAGTGGTAAAAGATGTGTGAGTTGTCTGTGCCAGGCAAAGCCAAACTGAACCCTAAATACTGTGTGAGACCATTAAAATAAACCCAATAAAATTTTAAGAGCGTATTTAGTTATTCAAGAGTTTACAGGAAGACCAGTTCATTTCTCAGCGCCTGCAGCTTTACATTCAGACTGCAGCTCCAGTTTCAAATATAAATAATTAACTGCCTGTTCAAACATAGAGTAGGTCTGATATATGATTAAGTGAATCAAAAGTATCTAAAACAGTAAGAGACATGATCCAAGTGGCCAGTATAAGAGAAACAACATCCAAACACTGAAGCTGCAGCAGTTTCAGTCCATCAGATGACAAGTGGCACACTTCCCACTAGTTAAATATCCAAGTACAACTACATAAAAGGATAATGACTGTGAAGTTAATTGTACCCAGTCAGAGACTTGCCCCGGGCCTGCTGATTGTGCATCTCTCTGCAGACAGCTGCATTAATTGTAGTGTTTGTCCGTCAGTCTCTCCCTCAGGGCACAGTCTTGGTCCGAACTCGTCTTCAACGGTTTGGAGGGAAACAATTATGACTTTTGTTTGATGAATTAATTACTTTTCTGTGTTGCTTTTCAACTGTGCCGTTACTTCACATCATCCAAAATCATGTGAAGACATTTGACTCCAACTCTTAATAGAATAGCGTTGCCTTTGGTGGGTTTACTGTGGTGAGTAACATAAACCTTCCTCTTAACATAGACATATGTTAATGTTTATGTTATGTGGAAGGGAAACTGTACAGTATATAAGAGAAAAATAATCCTTAACACTAACCAACTACTACTTATTCACTTCCTAACCCTAAGGGGGCAGCAGAGATACCCTCAGGGTTCACATTCAGGAAACATGTAGTTAATTAATCAAATTTTATTTTAAACTTTAAGAAACCAGTTATTGCAAATGACCCCTGCAGGTCAGACATTGAACTATTTAATCCACACATCTGCCAAACCTCAGCATCCACACAGAAGGTCGTGACCTTCCCATGTATGAAATACCTACTTTAGAGTTTCATATGATACATTGTTAACATAATCACCACTAAAAGAGTATGAAACAAAAACTGAACACTAGTGTGTACCATCAACGTTAAAAGATAACTAGATGATCAGAAGGCACATGGTACTGACACACAGGGCAGGAGAGGAATGGTGAACGTGATCCTGAAGAATGTTTTATGAACAAACAGTACACTCTGCTGTGACTCTTCTGCACGTTATCTATTAATAAACCCCACAGAGAGTGACGCCAGCAGCAGGGACCACCAAACATTTATGTACTTTGACAAAGTGATTCATCATCCAGCTCATTTCTAAAAAAAAAACAACCAACCAAACAAAAAAACCCACTGCCATCTTTAATGTTACCCCAATGATTTATACTGTTTAGTTTTTTTAATAATGTATGCACAACACTGTACAGATTTATTAGCTCATTTTGCAAAGTGGTCATCATTTGTGAAACGTCACTGAGACTGAGTGCCAGTCATTCTTCATTAAGCTCAACAGCTGCTGGGACTTTGAAGTTTCTAAAAAAGGAAGAACTAAGGCAGGGTGGGGGAATGGGAGGGCTCTGTCAGAAATGTCCTGACCTCCTTCACCTCCCAATAATGTTACATGGGACAAATGAACATAGTCCAAAATTAAAAATTAAAATTATACAATTGAAAGGACTTTTATCTCAACCTAACTGTAAGTAAAACAAACAACATGTCAGTAGCTTTCTTATGAGTTGAATTATTGCTCAGCATATTTTATACTAACCTTGTTCACTTACTGAAAATCATCTCTGGTACCATCAAGTACTTTTTTTATTGCCCAGGTTCTGGACTGATTAACAGTCTAATCATACACCAACTCAAACTTTTCTTTCTGGCTATGAAGCAGCATAAAGCCTTGGTGACGTTCACAGTGAAGTTTGTTTGTTTTAGCAGAAGGCCTTGAAGATGTAAGGACAGAGGTAAAGCTTACCTTTTTAAGGAAACGCACTCCATAGGTAAAAATGTAGAGATAGAAAGTAAACCTCCACCTGAAAGAAACAAATCACAAAAGTAAAACACGGCTGAAAGCTGAACAAACTTTAAAAATAGAAAGTCACGAAAAATATGTGGCTTCAATTCAGTAAACATTTATACAAAGTAGAGTTGTGAATAATGTGGACGTGGACGTGGATATGTGTGAACCACTCACGGGGATCGGTTCTCAGGTTCAGTGCACTGCGGAAAGCTACAGTATGTGGCTACCATGCCTGTGGTCAGAACTTTTAAGTAATTGTGTGAGGTGCTTTCCCCCACATCTGCAGACAGTGGTCAGTGACTCACAGAATGGGACGTTGCTGACTTCACTGTGCTGAGGTCTGAGGGGAAACAAAAGACACTCACACAGTGTCCAGGCCTAGACCAGACGGCTCTTTACGTAACACCGCACATCTTTGGGAGACTGGAATTACACAATGATAGAGAGACTGATTACTGTATGAGGCCAGAGGCAGAGGAGACTCTGATTGAGTGGACAATCCAGCAGTCAGAGCCTGTAATCTGGGGTGTGTGGGGGCTAAATATCTGACACCGACCGTGGTATTTTCTACGATAGAATCTTTGAATGGATCTAAAAATGTCGGGCTTTCCAGAGTAAAAATGGAAAATGTCAAGTTAGTCGTCTCTGACGGACCTTTGAGATTTATGTAGCCATTTATGTCACTTCTTTTATTTTAAACATCGTTGCAGTGGTGGCTTAAGAGGTACAAGAAGTTAGTTTATAGGTTAATAACTAAAAGGTTTTTCTTTGGATTGTGCCTAATGTACAATATAGATGCATATATTAGCCGAAATAAGTTAAAAAAAGCCAAGAAATCTAACAAAAAGCTTCATATAAAATAATATTTTGTAGTTTGCCAGGTCTTTGCGGAGCAGTCACGGGCCACACCCCACCATTTGGAGCTAAAGTTTTTCCGAGAAATGGCTGTTCGTGCAAAATTAATGTTTCTTGGTGCATAAGAAATGTTATTCCTGTCATCGAGTTCTACATTATGTTCCAGCTCTAGAGCAGGAGTTGATTTTTCAGCCAACGTGCAGCAGCGATGTGTACAGTCACATGACCTAAAAGGACTCTCAGCATGTTTCTGGGTAAAATACAAACGTGCAGGTTTTGCCCTTAAGAGACTGGAGATTTGTTGGGTGTCTCTAGGTCCCTGACTACTGTCCCCCCCTACCCCCCCCCCCCCCCCCCCCACCCCCCCCCCCCCCCACCGCAAGAGTGACTGACTGAAGGATCATTTTGACAAGACTACCTTATACGCAGTAGAAACTGTTGCATGGCAACTGATTCATCAAACCTGCAGGAGTGTTTTTGAAGTGCTGCCATTGTAGCTCAAATCACATTGACTCGTAGCACCTCTGTGTAAATGGACCATTTCTGTCTGAAATCATCATTTCTCAAAATGGTCATTGAATTATGAAAAGGCTGTAATGAGTTCATTTACATGATGTGGCCACAGTCTGCCTTCTGCATGTGTCTAGGTAATTGGTGCTGGTTAGTACCAGTGGTTAAGATAGTTAGGGTGATATGAGAGTCAGTTGATGAAGGATACTGTACACAAACGTACGATGATGTACCTTTTTAGAGGAAACTAATTCACAGAGGGGGAAATTTAATTTTATTAGATCTAGAAATTAACAAGACTTCACTCTGTTCAACTATCATCCAGTTTGGAAAAAAATTAAATTAGAAAGGGGCTTTGGGGCAAAACGCCCAATATAAAAATAAAACCTTTCAGATTGAGATATAGTTAGTCTTAATATAACCTAAATAAAGTTCACTGGAAAGACACAGTGAGTCAAAAAAAGATTAAAAGTCTGCCCACATGTGACTGAGAATTTGCACACAAAAAATAGCATGTAAGTATTCAACAGTTTTGTAGTTTTTTTTTGTACTCTGTACTGCAGGCTGTAGAACACAGTTAATGACAGCTGACTCTATGAGGTTACTTTCAATCTGCCCTACGGAACAATTACAGATGGAGCTTAAGCCCAAATTAAATGAATCCTCTCTCTGCTGTTACATTAATGTCTGTAATTAAAATGTGGCTGAATTAGCATATGTTTATTTTAATGACTGGACTTTAATTCCTCACATAAAATATTGCAACATGATAAGAAGTAGTGGTGGGAGATGGACCGAGAGCGTGTACGGTAGCTAATTTCTTAGCATGTGCTGCATTTGTTGTTAGAAACCCATGTAAGTTATACTGACTTTTGGTGCATGTGATTACAGTAACAGTAATAATAATGTTCTGTTGAATCGTTGAATCATCACCTCCTAGAACCATTTTAGGAATCCGAGCAGCGACTGATTAATGGAGCAGTGGTGAAAATTAGAGGGTAGAAATCAAAATACGACGTCCACACAAAGACGTGAAAACAACTGAAAGCCGGAGTGAAGATCACTTAAAATTCATCCCACTTATGCCCCCGCTAACTGAGGCCATATGCTGCGAGTTAAAAATAGAAAACCAGACCAGAGATATTAATTTTTTTTTGTTTTCAGTCAGAGCAGAGAAGAGAAAGGGACAGAGGCAGAGATCAGACAGTTCAGGATGTTAATAAAGACATGAAAGTGTATTCTCGCCTCACTCTGTGCTAATGTAGGCAAATGGAAAGGGAGAGGAAGGGGGGGGGTATCACAGGTAATGTTGCACTGTTCACAGTACTGTACTTTCTCACACATTTTTAGCTTTAAATAGAAGCCATGTTTTTATTTCTGTGGTGGGATAATCCCAAGTGCAACATTTCTGTTATTGTGGAATTTAAAACCCTTGGGGGAGAAACATTTCTTGGAATTCCATTATGATGGTTTCAGGCTCTTTTTTTTCCACAACATTAAAATACCTTCCTTATAACAACAAGTTTTTTTAAAGCTTTTTAAAAGCACAATCAACTACTATCAACTCCAAGCCTGTGTCAGGGATTAAAAAAGAAAAACCAGACTGGAACGATTATGGTATTACAGCAAAAACACCTGTTCCAAAAACATTATGGAAAGATTTCCTTTTTCTGCCGAGAGAAAAATAAAAATTGCTTGCTGTAGGTTACTTCACGACAAAATCGATACTCAAGCTTCTCAGAAAAGGTTTTTTTTCCGTACATCTGAGGGGAGAGAGGGAATAACAAGTGTGGAAAATGAAGGACATGAAAAAAACTGGCACACCGGGTCTCCATTATTACAGACCAAATGTTCCTGCTACGTACTGTGTACATAATGAACAGCAGAGACAACAGATCAGCCGTCCCGACAAGTGAGGGACAAAGAATCCTATCAGTCTGCAGCAGCTGTGCACCGGGGCCTAATTAGAGCACAATCACTGCTGGAAGGACTGAAAGTATTTGGAAAAACTGCATTCTAAGCAAACAGGGATTGACAATCAGGCCAAATTATTGCAAAGACCACTTTCTTCTGCAGTCTATTATTTACAATGGCGATAACCACTTTGGAGCTTTCACTGAATAAATGCCAGATGATGCCACTGTGCTGAACAACCCTGTACTTTGTGCAATGAAGCAGAAAACACTCCTATTTTGAGTGCAAGAAAACAGTTTTTTTCCTTCCTTCTTTTTTTTTTTTTTAGATTAAACTCGAGTGCAGCAGTCTGATTGGCCCACACTGTCCTCCTGAGTGGACGGCAGCTGTCGGGAGTTCAGAAGTTGTGAGGGATTCCTGTGTCTCAAACTGCCACGCTGGTTCCAGCACTGTGTCAGCTGTGACTCCCTTGTTAGCATTTAGCATCATATTGTTAAGTAACTACAACGTCCCTGATGGCAGATGCTCTACTGCAGATTAGCTCATTCTCTGTTGCAGCTTGAGTGGGTTCGTAGGAACACACTGGGACAAATTAGAATTGTTTATCCCACGGCAGCACCAGCGATGGTGTTGCAGTCTTCATCATCCACGTAAGAGATGGTGGAATGATGAGGTAAATGAAGATGATGATGGGATGGGAAAGATCAGTTTAAACACTGAAGCAGTGCTTCTAACAAATTGTAATTATGAACAAAAATGGTAATCACTTCAAATTCGAGACCTCAGAAGTTGTTGTTTTGCATCACTGACTGACAAGAAGGAATAAACACTAATTTAACTATTTACAATTCTTATAGACCAGATGGCAACAAATCGACGTAATAATACAATAACAACATTGCGTCCCCTATAGACTACAATCTGTATAACATGTGCTGTCTTTGTAAATATGTGCTTTTCATTTGTTCATGCTGCATGAAAACTAATGGAAATTCCCATTTCCATACAGTATGAATGCACCACTCTCACTGGGTTCATGTAAAACAACAGGCCTGCTTTTACTACTGTCACTGTTGGATTATTGATGAATGGTACAACAGTGAAGACTATTTGCATTAACAGTGATAAGGCAGACGTACAGTAGTATTCACTACTGTGGAAACCTGCACCTGGACCAAACTTATAAAACACACGAGTAATATATAAGAAAACATATGGTGCAATATACGTATGTAGTATAATAATAGTAATAGTGTAATATTACATCTACATATATGTAATATTTAAATGCTTTTTTCATTACATGTGAATATCAGTTTTCTCATGTAAAACAATAAATATTACATTCAAGGTATGTAATCTACTCCTTAACATTGGAATAGAATTTACATCTCGTTACCATGACAACAAACACAACATCTCTAATCTCTTAATTGTTTTGTAAAGTTTGCTTTTCTAGATAAATAAAGTTTTCTGAATCTGAAAGACATTACAGCTGCGTGGGATGAGTGCTGTGGTGTGTAATCTCATTTGTCTTACATGCTTTCACAGAAGCGGGCGAGAGTGCTGGGCTTCTCCTGGTTGCGTCGTTGCCTGAACCAGCGTTGGATGGTCCGCACATCCCAGTCCAGCTGCTTTGACAGGCCCTCCAGTCGCTTCTCATCTGGGTGCTGTGAGACAACATAAGAAAATACACACAGGTATATTTAAAAATGTGTTTTCACGTGGGTCTCGGTGACAAAAGTCAAACGGCACATGCACACAAACACTGGCTCCACCTTGGTTATGGCGGTGAAAACCTTCTCCAGGATGGCGTTAGGTTGGGCTTTTTGCGGCCCGTTGGCCTGGATCTTCAGGCCCATGGCACATGGTCTGGCAATGAACCTGCAAAAACGAGATCGAAATGTGACACTGTTATCAGAATCAGAACAGAGACAGTTTGGATCAGTGTTAATTAACTGCACGTAGCTGTGTCATTCACATTTATGAATGGAGACACAAGACAGTCAGTTCACAGGGGACATGAGCTGGGGACGGGGGGGGGGGGGCGGGGGGGGGGCGGCCGTGTCCCGGCCGCGCCCCAGCCCTGTCTCGAACGGCTCTGCGCACCGGCCCCCGCGAGGGAGGCCGGCTATCCGGGTCCAACCGAGGATCCGCGGCGCTACGG